TGCTAGTAGACTTTTAGTGGGTACGGCAAGTAAATTCTTAACAGGGGCAAACAGCAAGAAGCTAGTGTGAACGATGGAGAACCTTAAAGTGAAGGAACTCATCGAAATTTGTGAGGAACTCGGCATTACTTTGGGCCGTGCGAAACGAAAACAAGCGATCCTTGAGATCACGAAGGATGAGGGAGTGTCGGCTGAGGAAGTCGATGAGGCCTGGGTGGAAATCAAAGCACGCCGCGAGGAGGCTGAAAGGCGAGAAGCTCGCGAAGAAGCTGAAAGGCAAGAGGCTCGCGAACGTGAGGAAAGGCGAGAAGCTCGCGAAGAAGCTGAAAGGCGCGAACGTCGCGAGGAGGCCGAGAGACAAGAGCGCCTAGAGTTGAAACGACTAGAATTGGCAATCCTACAGTGTTCGCAGGCGCCTAGCGTAGCTTCTCCAACAGTTCAGGTCAGCGGTTTTAGAATTCGGGACCAACTGCCACCGTTCGTAGTAGGCGAGGACATGGCGAAGTATCTCGTCAAGTTTGAACACGTCTGTGAGCGAAACGCTTTGGAGCGACCTCTTTGGGCGCGGAACCTGCTAGCTCTTCTTCCCGGCGAAGTGTCCGACGCGATAACTTGCTTGTCGAGGGAAGCGTTTGAGAGCTATGACGAGGTTAAGGAAGTGCTCTTGAGACGTTATAAGTTGTCACCCGAGGCTTTCAGGCAAAGGTTCCGGTATGCTAAAAAGGGGAATGAGTCACACGTTGACTTCGCGTTTCGTCTTAAAGCCGATTTGATTGAATGGCTCAAGGGCGAAGGTGTTTATGACGACCGCGATAAAGTGGTGGAATGCGTTGCATTGGAGCAATTCTACCGCTGCATCGAGGAGGATGTCAGACTTTGGCTGCAGGACAGACTTGGTGAAGTACAGCTAAACAAGGCAGCAGAGTTAGCTGAGGAGTATTATACTCGCCGAAAGTTGCATAGCAGGGCAGTGCGCGTTGAAAAGGATGAAAGGAAAGAGGGCTTTTCAAGGAAACCTGATCAACGGAAACCCGTTCCGCACCGTAATTTCAAAAAGGACCCGTCTCTTACGAAGGACAGTGTAGGGGAAGGGCAAACAGAAGCGGAGAAATCGAGTGAGGTTTCTACCACACAGGCATTTGAATCGGAAAACAAACGGAAGCCGCTAATCTGCTACAACTGCAAAAAGGAAGGACACATCGCGAGAAACTGTCAGGAAAAGTTTGCCTTCGCAACAATCCGAGAATCAGAAAAAAACATGCGGTTGTTGGAGCCGTATCTCCAAGAAATTAGGGTGAATGAGAAAACGTGCCGAGCACTTCGAGACTCAGCGGCAACCATGGACGTTGTCCATCCTTCATTGGTGTCTCCGGATGACTTTACAGGAGAATGCGCGTGGATCAGGCAAGTCGCCGAGGAGCAGAGTGTTCGCTTACCAATCGCCACCGTTGTCATTGAAGGCCCGTTCGGTAAGCTTCGCACCGAAGCGGCTGTGTCTGCCGCGCTAAACGATCGTTTTCCCTATCTTTTCTCCAACAACTCGGAGCAGCTTCTCAAAGAGCAGGGCAAATCGTTCTTCCCCAACTTAGTGTGCATGGCCCTCACGCGATCGCAAGCCCGGAAGCTATCGCGGCAGCTTGATCTAGTTCAATGCAGTGAACTCTCAAGTGACCTTGTCGGCGGGTCGACGGAACCCCAGAAAGGAAATTTTCCGCATGAGTCATGTGAGCGGTCACGCGAGCGGCCCGTCGCGGAAGCGGCCGGCGAGGTATGCGTAGGGGGAGACGACATGGCGCCATTGAGTCAGAGCGAGAGGGTTGCAACGCTCTCGCATGTAGCGGAAAGTTGGAGCGAGCTGCCGAGAGTTGATCGAGAGACGCTCATTCGAGAGCAGCGTGAGGATCTCTCGATTGAAGCGCTAGTGTAAAGCCACAAAAACGCGGCACAAGTGCTGTCGAAGGAGCACTACGCGAAATCGCTGAAGAAGCGCGCTTTTGAAGTTGACAATCAGGTAAGGCGGCTGCAGCCGTCCAAAAGGAACAAGCTTGATGTTGATTGGGAAGGGCCCGCCAAAGTATTATCGAAGCCTTGCGATACAAATTATGAAGTGAAATTAGGAAGGCGGCCGGACAAAATTTACAACTTGAAAACAGTCGTAAATCAGCTGTTGAATGCTTCAGAGGAAGAGGGAGCAGAAATTTTTAGTTGTAGTGAGGCAATCGAAAGGGAATCGGGGGTAATCTGAGAGCAGATAAACCTAGAGCCTAGGTCAAGTGAAGTCCAAAAGGAGGACCCGAGAAAGATTGTTTTGGTGTTTGGAGACGTGTTTTCGGACCGCCCCGGAAACACGAGGGTGATCGAACACGATATCGAGCTAAGCGGTGAGGAGTCAATCCGTAGCAAGCCGTATCGTTGTTCCCCTGTGCAACGTCGCAAGTGTGAGCCGCTCTTGGTACCGCATAGGTATCGTCGCCTAAAAGTGACCGGTTACTGAGATGGAGCGTGGTACTCCGACAGGGCAACTTTGACGTTCGCTAAAAAAAAAAGAGAAAGCTATACGCTAATGCAGGTGCATTGAGCAGTGCGTTCCATCTTGTACCTTCTCAACCTTTCGGTTTCTCGCTGGCGATTCGGGGCAAAATTTTGACCTCATCACGACCTGAGCTGAGCGCTCTCGTCCAGAGTGAGTTCAAGGAGCCAACTTATGGGGCATTCTAATTCGTTACGTTGTTGTACGTGGGAAAAAAATTGAGTTGTCATTTTAAGGGTCTTTTGTCCCACATGTGCCTCTTGATGTAGAGGGAACAAAATTCCGATAGACACGTAGATAGGTATATGTTGTACTATACTTTGTCTGGTGTTCTGTCGGGTGACCGAGGGCACTTGCTTGTGTCGTGTGTTGTTTGTTGTCGAACCGTTCTTAGCAAGTTGCAGAACCATCGACAAGTGCTGAAACCGAAGGTGGTCAGAAGAGACGAGTGAAGCTGGTCGACAAGTTGTGGCGACAAGCCAGTGGAGCTGGGATCCGTCGTCAAAAATGGGATGTGTTCCCGGAACAGTCTGGAGCTGTATTCTCCCCATGGCCCTGGAGGCGAACCTGGAGGGACCTGGCGAACGAGCGCACCTGACATCCGAGCCCCGTGGAAGCAGCTCGCCTTTCCGGTGCATTGTCTGGCGGCGGGGGTGCTGTTATGCCAGCGAGTCCTCGTCAAACGTCCGTGCCTCTGAAAAAGGCAATCTGGGTCAAGGCCAGCCCGCAGTCCGCCTGACGGGAACAACTCAACGGCGAGAACACGCGCGGCGCCTCTCTGGCCCACGTGCATTGAGTCAGCGGCGCACGTGACAGTGAGCCGGCGTCCTCGTGTCTGGTGGTCTGACGCATCGCGCGGCGACCCCATTGGAGGAATCTGCCCTGACGACCAGCGGCGCTTCTAATTGGACATTTTGGTTGGACCCGGTGCCTATAAAAGAAGCCCTGCGGTGCGTCGCGATCGGCAGTCCTATGAGAGAGGAGTCCCCATGTCGGAGAGCCGACATGTGTGTGAGTCGGCGGTCTTAGGCGAAAAGTTGACCTATGTGTTAGAGAGGAGAGCTCGGCTCTTCGAGTCTCTGTCGGCCCCAGTGCCGAAATTGTAACGCCTCTGTATATATGCTGTACATAAACCTTGTTTAACTCACCGTCGTCTCGTCCGCTCGTCTTATCAGCTCTGCGCAGAAGCAGTCGCGAGCTGAGAAACATACGCTACCAAACGGCTGGTGACCTTCCCGGTGAAGTTGAAAGCAGTGGCGCCTTCGAGGCCGTGTTGGCGTCCCCGTCTTTCGCAACAGTGGTGGCTTCGGCGGGATCGGCCGTCGTTCGCAACAGTGGAGGTCAGCGGTGGGATTTCGGAGGTGGCTTCGCAACACCACCGGATGAAAAAACACGAGCACATCTTGAAATCGGTGCATTCTATGTAACATATCACTTAAGGCAAGTGACATGACGCCTATACGAAAAGCGATGTTTTCTACCATGGTGACTCAGTGTTCACGCTGCTCAGCTGCTGAACCGTAGGTCACGAGTTCGATACTGGACGCGGCGGTCACACCTCGGTGGAGGCGAAGTGATAGACGTCCGTGCTGTATGCGGCGAAGTCAGTGCACGTTAAAGAACACCAAATGTATGAACCTCCATCTCTCTCCTCCCTCCTAGTGATATCGTGGTTTTAAGACGTGAACCCCCAGGTATTATTGTTAAGAGTGGCATTACTACGAACGAAACGTTCGTGCCATTGTTAGTGTAGAGCTACTGAGTTAGGAGACGCGCACTATACCTGAAGCTATGGTGCGATAGGTCGACTTCACCCACTGTGGATATACTTAGCAGGAAACTCGACGAGATGTGACCGTCCTACGCAAGGGGCGTCACAGTGGTGACTAAACCAAAAGCCGGAACGAGGTCTTGGAACGTCGGTGTTGATAAGCAAGTGCGCGCAGATTGACCCAGGGCGCACGCAAACTTTGTTTCTGGAGCACAGACCCCACGTTTAGGAAGACTGGGCCGATCGTGTTGGTAGCCCAACGCTCTCTTGTGTTAGCCCAATGGTCTCTGGTCATGTGCCGAGTAGTCTACACTTGGAATAATGTGGTGAAGATTGTTAAAAGCTTTGTATAGCATTCAGACAGCGTCATGAAGGAATCTTCGCTTCACCCAGATTACAGCGCGTGCAATGGGTGATCTAGTCATTGTATCTATAAAAAGATCTAAACCTTTAACTTATAAGGCTGCCCTCACACAACGTAACAATGATAAATCGCGGAATTTTACCTGCATTTGTTTTCATAAGCTGAATGGTATTTGTGAAGCTCAGGATGAGAAGGTATCGTGAGCATGACGGCGTGTCAAAAAAACGGACATATGCGGTAATTTGCTTCTGCGATTCGCATTTTGTTGCGCTTTTAACTGATCGCAGCACACCCTCGATATGGGCATGTTTCGATCATTAAACGTGACCGAACAGTTAAATGTAGCAAGCTTCGAATGACACATAATTTATTACGAAAGAAGTAATGACATAACACAGGTGACGGATGAAGTTTGACGAAAATAGCAATAACGCCAGCCGTTGGATGTCTGCTTCAGTCAATACACCACGGTGGTACGCTGATGACTCAACGAAAAGTCTTCCGAGACACTCTGAAGGGGAGAAGCACACCTCAACGGTCGGCGATTATTGGTAATTCCTGGCACTTGGTAGACCACCATTCACGGATGTGCGCATGGTTGTTTTATACGGAGACTTTTCGGGCGCCAGGTCTTGGTGCACGCTCCAGTGCGTCGTTCAGGAATCGCAGCAGGCTGGACGGTAAGGTCCTTGCGACCTGCTTGGACAGCGTCCAGAATAGAATCCTGCCAACCTGGGAGCCCAGGCCACCGCTGGTTCCCACTGGAGGCCCCTGTTGAACCTGCGTGTGTTGCGCGTACTGCTTATACCAGCTGTCACAAAGGACATAATGTTGTTCCTCGTTTAACGATCTAACGTTATAAAGGTCTGTCGACAGCGAAATAGCTTAAAAGGCGGTGGCAGAGGAAACAAAACAATACAAGCGCTAAAGGTCACGATGATGTCACCGAGGAGCGGGTACAGCCTTTCACCCAGGCGATGGTGAAGGAAGAACTCTTGAGAGGCTTCTTGCTCACACCATAGAGAAATAAAAAAAAGGCTCACACAAAGAACACACAATCTATGCTAACACAAAGAACACACAATTTATTTACATTTTTACAAGAGTCCACCACTATAGGCGTCGAGACGCGCCTTTACACGAGACACGACAGGCCGAAACGAAGGCCAGATGCGCTGGCTAGAGAGAGAGAGAGAGCCCTGAGCGCACCACACGCGACGATATCTTTATATCCTCCGGTCCGTGCACACGCTTCTTGACAAACGCACACTGCGCGTGCCAGCGACGCCTATGCGCGTTCCCTGCAGCACACACAGACACCACTCGCGTTCCTGCAGGACGTGAACCGCGCTTTGACGATTCGTCGATGAGCGTCTCTTGAGGCCGGGTCATTGTAAAGCCCCTGATCCTTGGATTGAATCACACACTAACTTCAGAGAGAGATGAGCCATTTCCCAGTGTTTCCGTCATGTAACGGCACTTTAAGACGTGCATCTGGGCCGGGACCATAGCGCTAGGCAAAATTAGCACCCCGAGTATTATTATTTCATTTTTCATTTATTTCATTTATTTTACCCTTAAAGGCCCGAAGGCATTACATAATGGGGGACAAGTAACAAAATAGAGTACAATGTTCAACAGGATAAGTAAATAAATAAATAAATGAATAAAAGCAAATAAGTTTACACAGGAGACAGGAATCAGAAATAACATGAACGAACTAGAACAAGATAAAAAAGAACACACAATGCTTTACATATGTTAAACTGCAGAGCAAAACTAAGTACAATTCTAAAGCGATTGGAAATAAACACGAAGTAGTTGAGATTATCAGGAGAGAGGCTTGAAAAAATGTTCGTTCAGTTTTGCGCGGAACGTTTCCCTGTCGGCGCATGAAGTGGAGTCATCCGGTGAGGCATTCCCGAGGGCTATTGCATTAGGAAAAAATGAGGTGATAAATGCTGTCGTCCGGCCATTTATGCGTGCAATGGGTCTGCTGTGATTTATGCGCGATGAAGTTCTGTGAGCAGATTGGAGCAACTGATGTCTTGAGCGTGGATGATAGTAGAAGCGGTGCAGAAGGCATAGACGGGTGATCAAGTGGCGGGATTCAAGAGTTGGAAGGGAAAGAGTGTTTTAGCTCGGTAACGTTGGTTTTGTGTGAGTATTGCGAAGATATGAAGCGAGCTGCGCGATTTTGGATGGACTCTAATTTATTTGTTAGGTAGGCTTGTGAAGGATGCCAGATTGCTGAAGCATATTCAAGTTTAGGTCGTACGAAGGTGATGAAAGCTAGTTTTTTTTACGTCAGAGGATGCGCACTTCAGGTTGCGTCGAAGGTAGCCGAGTGTACGGGATGCTGTAGAGCAGATGGAATCGATGTGGGTGATCCAGGACAGCGATGAAGTCAAGCGGACGCCAAGATATTTGTAGCATGATACGGAAGCTATGGGCACGGCGTTAATAGAATATATGTTGGCAAGTACGGCACGCTTACGGGTAAATGATAATGATTTGCACTTATCTATGTTTAGGGGCATGAGCCATTTATTGCACCATGAAGCAATTGAGTCGAGGTCGCGTTGTAGCTTATTAGCATCGGCAGGGCTATTGATGACGGTGTAGATGACGCAATCGTCAGCCAAAAGTCGGATATTAGATTTAATGTTAGCCGGCAAGTCATTAATGTAGATGAGGAACAGAAGGGGCGATAAACCGGCACCTTGCGGCACGCCGGATGTTACCTTAGGAAATGCTGATTGACAGTTATTAGCTGACGTGAACTGCATGCGTCCCGTCAAAAAGTGCTTAATCCAGCTTAATAAATTCGGAGGAATACCAAGAGAAGTTAGCTTGCGAATCAGGTGATTGTGAGGTACGCGGTCGAAGGCTTTTGCAAAATCCAGAAAAATGGCGTCTGTCTGAAGGTTATTATCCACGGAATTAAGTAAGTCGTGCGTGAATTCGGCGAGCTGGGTATCACAGGAAAAAATGTTTGCGAAAGCCGTGTTGAAGTGGATGGAAGAAATTAATTGATTCGAGGTGGCTCATGAGACTAGATGCTATAATGTGCTCAAAATAGTTTAGAACCTTTCCTTGGCAATTTCTTGCTTAAATGTTTGATAGATCTCTAGTGCGGACTTCTTAATCATGCCAATTCTCCACATATCGGTCTCAGCTTCCTTCACCTTCTTCTTAACCGATAATTCTTTTTGGTTTGGCCCCCTGCTGTTTTCTAAGTATCTACCAGTTAATTTTCTGGTTCGCTTCCTCCATGTTGTATCGACATTCTTCATGTACAAGTAGCTGAATACCTTCCTAGCCCAGCGCTCCTCCCCCATTTCTCAATCGCTTCTCAAATTTATCTTGCTGCTAGCTTCCCTGCCCTCAAATGATGTCCATCCCATATCACCTTGTACTCCCTGATTTGGTGTATTCCCGCAAGCTCCTAAGGCAAGCCTACCTATTCCACGTTGCTTAATTTCTAATCTTGCTTGAACTTCTGATATCATGCACAAGACCGCATTGCCGAACGTCAGACCAGGAACCATGACCCCTTTCCATATTCCTCTCACAACATCAGACCTATTCTAATTCTACAGTGCCCTGTTTTTCATCACCGCTGCATTGCTGTTACCTTTAGTCGTTACGTATATTTCGTGTTCCCTTAGGTACTCGGCCCCATTGCTTATCCATACGCCCAGATATATGTATTTATCTGTTATTTCTAGTGGGACCTCCTGTATTCTAAGCTCACTACCTTCATTGTCATTAAATATCATGACTACTGATTTGTTCTTACTGAATCTGAAGTCTAACCTATCTCCTTCATTACCGCAGATGTCCACCAATCTCTGCAAATCTTCCTTGTTGTCAGCCATCAGCACTATATCATCTGCGTACATCAATGCTGGTAGTGTCTGTTCAATGAGTTTTCCTTGTTTGACGAAAGAGAGGTTGAAGCCCAGTCCACTTCCCTCTAATTTGGCCTCTAATCCTTGTAGGTACATCACGAATAATAAGGGTGACAGAGGACACCCCTGCCTAAGCCCTTGTTTTGCCTCTGCAGGCTTGGATACCTGTTTTTCTCACTTTATAACTACCTCATTACCTTTATAGACATCCTTTAAAATATTAGTGACTCCATTTTCCACGCCTAGTGTGTCCAGTATTCCCCACAATTCCTCTTGAACCACGCTATCGTACGCTCCCTTGATATCCGAAAATGCTGGCCACAGGGGCCTGTGTTCCTTTTCTGCTATTTCAATGCACTGCGCCAGTGAGAACAGATTGTCTTCCAACCTCCTGTGTTTCCGAAACCCATTCTGCAGTTCCCCCAGCACACCCTCATCTTCTATCCATGTCTGCAGTCTTTCCTTTATAATCTGCATTGCCAGCCTGTAGACCACTGATGTCACTGTGCGCCACTGATGTGATGCGCAGTGGGAGCACCGCAGCTCCCTCTGGTCAGTGTGCGGTGCCCTCCGGTCCGTGCACGCGCTTCTTGACAAACGCACACTGCGTGTGCCAGCGACGCCCATGCGCGTTCCGGACACCGCTCGTGGACACCGCTCGCGTTCCTACAGGACGTGAACCGCGTTTCGACGGTACGCCGATGAGCGTCTTTTGAGGCCGGATTATCGCAAAGCCCGTGATCCTTGCAATGAATCGCACACTGACTAAAGGGAGAGATGAGCCATTTCACGGTGTTTCAAGTGACCTTAAGAAGTGGGTATGGGCCGGGAATAAAGCATGTAAGCACCTCAATAACCGCTGGTCATTAAAGGTAACTAACTCGATTCCCAGAGAAGGCAAACACACGAGGGGGAGATAGAAAGTTAGATGGGCTGATGAAATTAAAAAGTTCGCAGGTGTAACATGGCAGTAGAAAGCACAAGACCGCCGTTGATTGGCGGATCATGCCAGAGGCCTTTGCCCGGCAGGGGCATAGTCAGGCTGACGATGATTTACTGATGACACAATGACGTCGCGAGTACGGCATTGAACGTAATTGTAACCATTCTATAACCAAGTACATTCAAGCACAAAGTATGCAATACCAAAACCTTAATTTTTTTTACTTATATTTTTTCAACAAGCTGTTCGCATGTTTGACGAGAAGTTCGACATGTTGCTTTGTTTCACTGCTACTCGTCAGTGCTCTTACTGCCATTACAAAGGCGTCAGCTCAATACTAACCAGCGCATAAATATATGACCGATATTTTAGTTCAGTTATGTTGCGTTTATTAAACATTTTTGCAGTTATGAATTGGCTAACTTAATGCCGGTTATATAATGATACTACAAATACTCATACTTTTTTTGCGACGCTTGAGGTGCCCTCACTGTAAAATACGCAAACATGAAGGACGTGAGAAACCATTATCCAAATTCATGATAGAGAAGATTCATTGGGAACACGGTAGTCTGGTTGAAGCCTCGCGCAGTAGTAACTTATAGTTGCGTCTACTTACCGACACTTGATCGGATGCGAAGTCTACGCTGGATTCTTCAAACTTTGTGAACTGGAACTTCCCGTTGGCTTCCTTGAGTCGTGCTACCGTGGTTATCGTGACGTCATTGTAGACTATGTCGCAACGGCCACTTCCTTGAAGGGGAAACGCCTCGTAGAGAGATCCAGCCACGGAGTACTGCATCCTTACGGAAACCTTTGGAACTTGGAACGCCAGGTGAACTTTGAGGTTCTTGGTGTCGGCTCGTAGGTTAGTGATATCGAATTCGGAGAGGTTACGGATCTATAAAAAATATGCACAAGAACACCCACGAGCCCACGGTGAAAATGCTGTCAGCAAAGTCGTGTAGCACACGGCATAGCGATGCCGGAATTTTGTTTAGAAGTACAGAAAGGCACAGAAAATCCCTGTTAAATGTAGGGTACGCTCCTTCAAAGTTTTCTTTATTAGAGCCGCGTGCGTATTTTTCGTATTTTTGCCGTGACATGAGCAGTCGTGTCTGGATTGCCGAGCGCGCTTGGCATTGGGAGCAGGATCATGAGCAGCAGTTTGAGCAGCCCGAGTCTTTTAGTCGTTCTTCTCGAGCCATTTTAGCGAATCAGTGGTGAGTAGTGGTGGTTGCTCAATTTATGTGGCACATACGTGCGCCAAGGGTTTACTGTTCGCGATATTGTGACTGGTCTAGTTATTTAGCTTCGCTGTAAAAAAAGAAAAAAAAAACAAGGTGAGAGAAGATCGAGAAGCAGTTGCAGAAACAAAGCAATAACTGGTCCTGAAAACAGGCGCCGTACGCGTTTTTGGGAGGAGCCGCTATTGTTATGTGTGACCTTCTATACACGCGAAACTAGCCGTTGGTAGGAACGGCATGAACGCAAAGCATTGACGAAGGCGGAACACATACGGCGACACCAAAGCTATACTAACAACAGTTTGCTGCGTTTGTCACAGATAAATATGGATGAGCATTGACTAGAAACAGCAAGGAAAAGGAGAATAGGCGATATTCACTTAGCATCTCATTCTTGTGCCGATATCATATTTTACGTTCGCGCTATTCGTATACTATCATGACTCACCGACCTGCCCATCAAGTTTCACTACTATGGACTGTTGTATCATACAAGGCCAGGTGTAAACAATATGCGGCTTGCCTGAATGTGGAGCAGCTGAAAGTGAAACGCGTCCCCACCAAAGATGGAAGACACGTCGGTGGGAGGAACGTTGAGCGGGTCCATGGCGGAGATCCCGAGACTCGGATAACCGGTGAGCATCACGGATCGGAACTTCCCCAGCTTGTGGTGCAAAAGGTCCTCCATGTGCCGGTCGTAGTAGGCGCTGCTCGGTGAACGAGCTTCTGGCAAACAGATAAATGTAATCAGCTTCTGAAGACGTATGGTTACAGCAGTGTCATTTAAAATGTTCTCATGCCAGGGAATCCAACCTGAAAAGTCCCTGTATCGTAAAATCCGATTCATGCACCGCATCAAGGGAAAAAGAAGAGAGAGGAAAGGCGGGGATGTTAAACAGCTTAGAACAACCGGAATAACCTGCAACACGGAAAAAAGGATGGGAAGTTTGAAAGTTAGAAAAACAAAACCAAAAGAGACTTCGCGCGTGCTCACTGCCCAGCCCTCCTTCCGTGGCTCGTCCTCATCCTGGCTTCCCTTTCCTACCTCCCGACTACATTGCTGTATACACGGATACGCCATGTTTTACCCTCTCCGCTAGTTCTCCTTCATCCTCAACTTCACTTCTTATTCCCATCCTCATGCTATACTATGCATGGCTATGGTATGCTTTCTTTCACTACCTTTCACTGTCTATATTATCCTGCATATCTCCTTTTTCCCATCTCTCCCTATTTCTTTGTCTCCCAATGTTTTTACCTCTCCTTTTTTCAATTTGTATATCTATCTTTTTTCCAATCTCTCGCTCATGTTAACGCAATCATATAGTTCCCATAGGTGCTTGTTCTGCTATTGCGAGTGGATAGTCGAACGATCACCTTCGTACCGTGGGTGTACTCAGGTTCGAATATCATATCAGCCAATATTTAATTTTATTTCGTTTTATTTCATTTCTCCTCCTACCAAATTTACATCTGCTCTCCAACTCGATTCCTTCCTCCTCTTCACATTCAACAAGCAGAGCTCTCGATTCAATGGGACTTGCATTCTGTGGCCCGCTGCTCGCTTTCTGACGACGACGGTTTCTACGAACGATTTGCTTAGTTAAACAGCTACGCTGGGAAAAGTGAAGCGAAAGCGAAGCTGCAAACGCGAGGAACAATCATCTTTTGAATAACACTCACGATTGTACATTACGCACAGAACGAGGTTCACAATGGGACACTCGCTTGCTGGATTACCGTGCCGAACGGTTGTGCCGCCCACGATCTCCGACGCTAGCGCAGCTCTCGCCGACTGGTTCGCCCTAGGCGATCTCCTTACACTCTGAAGCTCTCGCCGTGTGGTGTTCCGTCCTCGGACTGCTTCGAACCATGTCCCTAATCCTTGTCCTTTCTCGCTCGTTGCTTCTCACTTCTATCCTTTTAACCCCTCGTTATCTCCTTCCCTCGTGAGCTACTGCTGAAGTGTCGAACTTAGATGCAGACAGTTGCGGGGTTCATTTTTCTCTTTTTTTCACCCCCCCTCCCCACACAATAATTCGACCGTATTTTCCTGCTAAATCTAGCACCTATAAATATTTGAAAGCTGAGGTTAACTTTGATTAATTATTAGGGTATGACGTGGAAAAGGCACGATGTGGTGAGGCACACCGTACATTTCTAGTCATGCCCTGGTTAAACGGTGATATATCCAGCAAGTTAAACTAAAAAAGGTTTAATGTCCTGGCTATGTCATGCACTTTTAACTTAGGTCATGATGAGTAGTCCAGAGAGGTAGCCCAGATCAATTTTATGTACCTGGGGTTCTGTAACTTGCCCCTTAATCTGAACACGCATGCGTTCTTGTGATTGGCCCTCACTGAAAGTGTCAACTCTGTTCATTAAAAAATGATAAAAAACTACTTTACGCACCGACAAAGGACAACATGTGTGCAAGGGCTGTTTTGTTTCTTTGCACGTGCGTAAAGTGGTGCCACTTTTTTTTTTCAGATAGATTCTAGCTAAGCGGTTTGCATGCAAACACATTTAAGTCAACACTGTGTCAGTGTCGTGCGACGTCGGGTTAGCGTGTCTTTTTAAGACTTGCCCCAGTCTATGTCGTAGGTTCTTGCATCTGCGGTAGCTAGTGCCCAAAGGCCGAGCAAAAGGATGCACTCCTTCATTCTGGAAACAATCGAGAAAAAGCAATTAGCAGTGTTCATGCAGATGGATGTACACAAAATGTTGCACGTAGAGCACCTTGAATGGCTGTTTATACATACATGTCTAATGCATTACCTCTGTGCATTCCTTTTTTTTTTTGCAAAAAAAAAGAAAGCTAGAATAGAAAATTCACAGTGACAATAATGTATTTACCTAGGACTACTCGAAGGCTTTGATAGACAAACCTTTGACCAAGCCACGATGTCACGTGACGAACCAATCGTATGACGACGCTTCATGTAATGTAATGATGCTGTTATAGTGAGGTTGCAAAGACGTCTCGAATTTCGGCAAATCTGTGACGTAATGTTAACGTCCTGTGGTGACGTCATTCATCACGTGACGATGATTTTTTTTTTCTTTCACCCGTGCTGATGCCTCAGACGCTCAAGTGTCGTGTTCGATGAGGCATGTAAGGCTTTCGTCTTCATTTTAGATTAGGTAAGTTTTTAGGGGTATTAATCCGAATGAGAACCTGAAGTATGAACAAAGCATCCGAGTAGCGTTTACCAATAATGAACGATGGTTTCGAACAATGTCGCAGCAAGGTCGGCAGCAGGGCGAGTTGGTATGGTTCCATATATTTTTTTTTAATGCAGCGCCAAGCTAATGGACAAGAAGGGGACACAGCGCTTACTCGAAGCTAACAAGTTTATTAAACGAAGCATAAAGAAAAGTGTCTACTTCTCGTCCTGTAGTTTGCGCTACTATAAATAGATATGTGGGGTTTAACGTCTCAAAACCACCATACGATTATGAGAGACGCCGTAGTGGAGGGCTCCGGAAATTTTGACCACCTGCGTATTTTTTAACGTGCACTGAAATCTGAGCACACGGGCCTACAACATTTCCGCCTCCATCGGAAGCGCTACATTAAATAATATTTAACAACGTCACCATGGCTTGTACCGCTGGCGCGTCCTCATGAAAGCTATAACTAGCGTAGATATTTAAAGTATAATAATGGAGCATTGAAAAAAAAAAGAAAATGCAATGCACCTGGCTTCAAAAACGACACGGAAAAATAACGCGATAAATTACTAGGGCAACTTTGGAAGCCCTGCTAAAAACTGGAGGGCTTTACGCCTTGCAAATATTTAGCAGAATTCTTTTACTATAAACAACATTACAAATGAAATGCCGTGCGTGTAGGTAACCAATAATTCGAATCGATCGATTATCTAGGCTCAAGCCTGAAATATGTGATGACTATAACTAAAGCGCTTGCCATTTCAGCCGCATGTTCAGTACCTTATGCAACAGTCATAATCTTGACGATCGTGTCACTATCAAAGCGAACAGGATCACCCATAAGTAATCAACCGAACACAAGGCAACAAAATAAACGCACTTAGGCGAATAAAACTTTCCGCGAGGGCTGAGCTCGATTTTATATACACTGCATTTCCTAAAGTCAAGGAAGAATAAAAATTTATGTTTGCGACAAACTTCCCAGTGGTGACATAGTGACAAATTCTATGAAGTTATAGATATTTCGACTATCTTCACAGTTAATTCAATTGCAGCTAAATAAGTTTACGTGTGAAGTCAGGCGTGTTGCGCGTACCTTTCTCTGACACCTGAAGATTCCGCTCTGTTTGCTTGATTGCCCAGCGTTGTGTGCCTACGGTTTCGTTGCATGATGCGAAAGCTCTGCCAGCGTTATTAAGCCAGAATGCAACGCGAAAAAAAATGACCGAAAAATGACAATGAAGCAGGTTCATCAAAAACAGCTGTCACGCGTAAGCGCGACGAAGGTATGACGCTACCAAAGTGTCGTACGTCTTCGAAGCTCGGCATTCGAGACGCGATCGGGCAGGTGGCACATGTATCAATCTATGCGACAGCGCAAAAATTATTCAAAACTTGTCTTTGTATACCTTTCTCGTTGGCTTATGTAGTACAGCAGCGCGCACTATAACCTGTCCTTCATATTCCAGAGTTGCGTTACCGTCGCCGAAGTGTCGACCATACGTGTAACGTTCGCAGCACGAATTTTCGAGCCTTACGAGTTAAATAACAGCAACCACGGCTAGTTAAAATGACATCCAAACAAGGCACAAGGTCCACCCATGTGCTCTTAAAATAATTATGTCTGATGCTTTATGCACCAAAATGTCGGTTTTATTTGGAGGCACGCTGTAAGGAAGTGCTCCAGAAATTTTGACCATCTGGTACTTTTTAACGTGCACTGACATGGCACACTACGCGAGGCTCTCAAATTTTGTCTCAATTGAAGTGCGACCTCCACGACTGGTAACGAACCCGCAACTTTTGGGTCAGCAGCTGTAACCCCTGCACCACCGGGGCTTATGCCATGTGTTCAATTCACCAACGGCGTCCATGATTTTCTGACAGTGCAAAAACCGAGGGCATGAGCATAACAGGGTCACGATTACTCAAGTCAATCTCATAAGAAAAAAAATAGTGAGTGTGTAATTTTTTGATACTATGCATGTGACGTCTGAAAATTCGAATTTAGCAGCAGGGAACTTATCGTGTAACAGCGTTTACAACACGCTGGGGCGTGTTTTGAATAATTATTCTTGAAAAGAAGCAAGGCAGCTAGCACATAAGAACACAACTCAGAGGTGAGGAGAATGACGCAAGCTTTGCGAACGTACAACCAAGTTTGTTAAAGAAGTAACCCTTAGGGAGGGGGGGGGGGGAGTAATATGCCCTGTATCATTAAAGATTTATTTTTCAGTGGCAACACATTTGTAATAGCGTACAGCCTTATACTCGTTCTCATGCTGCTCAACTTCTTGAAAAAGCCCAGTTAACGAAGTTCCGGTGCCTTAGCCCGAACTAGGGACATCGCACCCGGCGTAGCGAAAAATTGCTCTCTCGTTCTTTGTGTACGATGTTGAGCTGGAGTCAATGTTTCGAAAGGCGCGTTTTTCTTCAAAAGTATAACTGCAGCCTTGAAGAAGGCGAGCCCCGCGGTGGTCTAGTGGTTAAGGTACTCGGCTGCTGACCCGCAGGTTGCGGGATCGAATCCCGGCTGCGGTGGCTGCATTGTCAATGGAGGTGAAAAGTCTGTAGGCCCGTGTGCTCAGATTTGGGTGCACAGTAAAGAATCCCAGGTGGTCGAAATTTCTGGAGTCCTCCACCACGGCGTCTCTCATTATTATATGGTTGTTTTGGGACGTTAAACCTCACGTATCAATCAATCAAGAAGGCGAGTCTGCTTGTCGAGGCGTTGGCTTCAGCAACAGCCCGTGTTGTAAGAATTTATTCTCACAGACACAAAACAGATACGCACGAGAATTTGTTTTCGTACCTTTTCTTTTCATTGTGCTACAACTACAGGTTCCCAAAAGGTTATTGGAGGCGCAGAATCATGTATGTGCATTACCAGCTTTATACAATATTGTCATTATTTAGAGCAGAAAACCACTACTTAAGTACATCACTATTATTCGCGATCAAGCAACACTTGCAACCGCGAAACCCAGAGACCCGGTAACCCATAGCGGCGGCAGCGTCCTTGCCAGGACACGGGCCACTTACCTGTACATAGCGGCTGCCGGTATGACACTGGCCTGGTATCTATAGCGTGCGGCGCGGTCGCCGACTTCACTTGAAGCAGGTATGGCCGCCCGGACAGGAGACGTGCCCGTCGGAAACTAAGACGGGCTGAAGTCGAGGGGGCTGGTAAATACTGCGAGGTCACAGCAAAGTACAAAAACGGGCAGCCATTGAACCGGTTTCTATCGCTACACGTTCCTCCTTTGGGATGACTCGATCCTGCTACCTATAGCCTCAGGAAGTGCGATAAGAAGGGAAGCGAGCCGTGCCGGTGATAAAAGAGCTTGTATTTTGAATGCGTATGCGATGCAAGCCCGTACTCACTCGTCCCGTTAAGTGGCAGAGCGGACACTGCCGATTATGCCCCAGAATGTAACTGAGACACGTACGCTACGTGGCCTGTTTTTCGAGCGGCGAGGCGCGATTAACGTTGAACTTGGACTAGATTGTTTTACTCTCGCACTCACGTTTAGAGTGACCAGACATAACTTCGACCTCAGATAGCTTTCGGCGCCGTCAGCGTGGCGCCTGCAGGTTTGGTTACGTCACAACTGATGCTGAGGGAACAGCAGTGGTCAGCATGCGATAAGAACAAGCCCGTTGCTATCATGGTCGTTCGTTTGACCTGACCCGCAGAGCGCTTCACCCAGCAAGCCGTGATTGATAATCACGGTTAGACAACAGATATAGGCGTTGGTAGGAGAGTGCGGAAGGGGCACTGAAATTATTCTGTAAGCTCCCTACGGGGGCGAAATTATGCGTGCGTTGACCATTATGTTCAATCACTACGCAGTGAAGCAACTCGTTGCGTGTGCAGGGGACAAATACGGCGCATATACTCCGGCGCGGGCGATTCGCGAGCACTGAGCAAGATTGCACTTCTACAGCAAAACGGTATGTTGCTATAGGTTCTAGAGCATCGCTTCTACGGACAAAACGGTGCGTACTAATTAATAATAATTTGGGTGGTGGTATTTTTATTTCTTCCAGAAAAAAAATAATTAAAAAAATCTAGAGGACCAGTACAGAGACTGGTTGCGCTATTTAAGAGGAGGTCGGCGAGGATCTCTTGGGGTGTAACGTCTCAAAACCGCTCTATGATTATTAGAGATGTAGTGGAGGGCCCCGGAAATTTCGACCACCTGGGGTTCTTTAAAATGCACGTTAAGGTAAGCACATGGGCCTCAAACATTTTCGCCTCCATCGAAAACGCGGCCGCCGTGGCAGGAATTCCATCGCGCGACCTGCAGGCCAGCAGCCGACTGCGTTAGTCACTAGACCACCGTGGCGGGTAAAATGACGCTTACGACAGTCATATTAACGATCCATAATTCATATGTTTTAGCGCATCACGGCACGGACAGCGCACGCGTGTCCATAGAGAGTTGCGTGCACAGAGATTGTTACAGTGGAGGCCAGCCCCACCACCACAGCTTTCTGATGCATGCTACGGTTGAACAGCTCGAAGGTTCTATTGCAACCACGTGGCACCCTGCAACAAAAAACTGGTGCGCATAGTCTCGACCTTTTCTTTTTTTTTTCGCCTGGCTGGAAGGCACAAACTATTTGTCTTCAGAGGCGTTTGAAGGAAACTTTACGCACTTATGGTCGACAAAAAGGTTCACCATGTGTATTTAGCTAGCTGATCATTCACCATCGTCAAAAGATCATTGTGCGTATGGTTACCAGTGGGACCATGCGCGCAATGACACCAGCGTACGCACCCACCCCCACCCCCCGCCCAATTTTATATTTGCCGCGGCATAGAAGCGCATGATAACCATTTGCTTACTCGACCCCTGCAGATCAAAGAGGTGCCCCCCACCTTTCTCCCCTAAAAAAAAACGCCAGGCCTGCATGGAAGGCGCAGCACAGTCACAGCGAAATCTAGAAGAGTGGCCTTTCAGAGCCTTTTCTCTAAACAATCATTGAATAACTGCTGCAAGCACACTTGCTTGATGTTAACTACGGCATTAATAATAAATATTTTAGGGTAGTAGGTCAGCATTCGCTATACTATTTTTCGTCATACTTCTGAAAAGCGTATCCGCTAAACTATTGCGAGGAATTTTGTGCCAATTGTTCATGCAATGGCTGAAGTGGGTATGCGCCACAGTTAATATGGGAAGAAGAACAAGCTTTTGCAATGGGTTGGAGCATCGGACGACAGTCTCTTTGTGCTATTCGCATTGTGCGACGACTGGTTGTTTTTTCGCTGTTTTAAAACGCTTTATAAGTCGTATTAACATAATTGCTTTCCCAACATGAAGCCTGCCTAAGACAAGCTAAGTTGGCAAGGGCGGGATCTTTCCGTTCTTTCGAGAGCTAAAGCAGGCGACATCTTTCTTGCGTCAAAGCTTGTCTACATTTTGCAAGTATTGCATTGCTCTCGCGTACATATCCCGGCGTTTCACCGGATATTTGCCGGCTTCATTTGGAATTCTTCATGTGAAGCCATGTGAAGAGACAGCCTTTTTCTTCCGCTTGAGAAGGGGGGGGGGGGTTAGTTTTGTGCATTTGTTTGTACGACAGCTGGTGATGAGATTTTTCTGCCTTAAGGATGTGTGTCACCCGTTTATTTTGGTTGTTATCCGGAATCGACTTGCTTATCACCTCCATTTTCTTTTTGTGACGACAAGAGTGGCTGAAAACTCGCAATTGTGGGGTTTCTTGACAGATTGTCGAGGCCATGCAGTTTTTGAAAGCCAGATTCTCTTTAGAATATCTATACACTGTAAACAGAACGACACTCACTGCTGCACTTGTCAGCACCCTTTTTCATGGACCTCTTTACCGACAGCAATATTTATATCAAACTGGTCATGATGTGTTCTACCGTGTACATAAAATGTGTATATCACCAGCAGCGAAAACGTTTTTCTTTAAGTTACAAACCTCCACATTACCTGTAAAGACGTGGCTTCATCAAAAAGATATATGCATGCCCTGGTCTCTCGATTGCAGACTGTGCAATAAGCCTGAAACAATCGAGCATTGTTTTATTCATTGCTGTTATGCGTGTCAATCCTGCGACATTCTTAAGAAAACCATAAAAAAAGAATGTCCAATTACAGCTCACGGTGTTAGGTTCCTACCGTTCAGAAAGTCCCTTAACAATAGTGCTCCATATGATTTGATTATGTTATTAGGCCTTCATTCATTATGGAGGAGCCGCATGATTAACAGACATGTGAGCCACCTCGCTCGACCAAGTCTGTTTTTCGAGAAGACGCCGCCAATGTGCGTAGTGTTGCACAGACTTTCAACCCTGTTGCGGAGTGGCTTGGACTTCAGGACATGCGTGTTCTGTTTACCAGACTTTTGAAGGTTCGTTGTACTGTATGAAATTGTGTCTTGTGCATGTGTGCACGTGAGTATATTTATTTCATATTACTGTCAGCCCTCTCTTGAGGGCTCTTACAGAGAAGGTACAACCAAATACAAACCAACCAATATACATCTGTGTCAAATCACAGCACAATCAATTAATACATGTGTAACACTTTATCATATCGGCAAACACTGCCTGTATTTACAGCAATGCCTGGCTACGCCTTACAAGGCTTAAACACAGCCGGGAGAAAGAAAAAAAAAACTCAAACCAAGGAAACATGCAGGCTTATCATCTGGCAGCTACATCACTCAAATACATGTCCAACAATTTTTCGAAATGGCAAAGATCGCTTGCATTTGCTACAATGCCTGTTCAACGCATTCCAAAGCTCAATTGCAGCTGGAAAAAAAGGAATAACAAAACACATCACTCCGACAGGAGTACGGTACTGAAACACAGTCGGAATTAACCCGACTGCCTCGTTTCCCTGGCACTTTTAAATACAAATATTTGTTAATTTGTTAAATATTTGTTATAGTTGTCCTTGCAGTATCCTTGAAAGAGCTTTCAACCGGTTCTTTTGTCTTCTTGCCTCAATATTTGATACGATTGATTGTATAGCTATATATCACATCATTTGATTGCATTACTTCAGTTCATTGTAAAAAAAGCACCGGCGTTGCTCAGTGGTAGAATACTGGGCTGGCACCCAGCGGGTCAGGGTTTGAACCCCACTGTGTCATTGGTACTAGGTTATTTTTTTTTTTCTAATTTCGCGTGATGTGGTTGCCGACACCGGCGCTGGTGGACAACTGTTGCGCGAGACCGGAGTGTTGATTTCATAACAGCTTTCGCTGTAACAAAAAAAAAATGCTACCAACGCCCCTGTTTTGCTGTGCTTATAGTGCTCACTCAAAAACAAATACGCATTAAACGAACGCGGAAGTATACACATGACAAGCAACGCGCTCCTTTCGTAAACATGTCCGCAGCAGCGAGCGGAGTTACCTGTATGCTCTGTATGTTTTAAGGTGGTGTTCAAACCCTGGTGACAACCGCTTCACATTTGACGCGTTGTTCGCGCACGCACTTTGCTCTCTGCGCTGGACGAATAAATTTTAATTGTGTTAATTATCAGCTTTCCATTGACATGTGGTGTTAATGCCTGATCGGAAGCGTCACCTAATAGTAATGAAATTAGTATGAGCAACAAAAGGCAATTTCCTTGTACAAGCCTTCGTTGTGCTGCGAGTACGGCGAGACTGTTGAACATAACAAAGAAAAAATTACTGTGTCCTTAGGCGAAGTGCTATTCAAGTTGTTTATGAAGAAATATTGGACATTTAATAACTAGTAATTTATTTACACTTCAATGAAAAAGGGCAAAATAATGAAAGATTGTGTGCGAATATCTTTTTTTTTCTTTTCAACGCAGATACATCATGAATGATTCTTTGGAATACATTACATTTAGTTTTCATGCGAAAGTTATCAGTGCTGCGACGAAATGTTGACGAAATATTATTGTGTGAATTCGGCAGTTTATGGCTGTACTTGGTTACGCATTACCGATGAAGCGACAAAACTATACAAGCTCATACTCTGGACTCCTATATAATAAAGCAGCAGACCCCCTTTTTAGAATCCTTTGGAAAGAAAATTCTTTTGTCTTTATTAGGGAACCCAGAAGGCAGCAGTGAATTTAGGTAATTTTTCTGCTGCCCTGTTCTATAGCAACTGTTTTTTTTCTTTTTGGACGCTAATTTCGAACGACTATTGCACATCAGTAGGTACATACTGTGTCTTGTATCTACTTGTGCTTACTAACTTGACAACCCAGTGCTTCAAATAAAATACTTTCAATAAATCATAATTCTCACA